GGGGGGGGGGGGGGACACGACGACATGGGACAGAGGCAGAAGGGCAGCAAGAGCCTGCAAACAGGGTCCAGGGAAGAGGAGCATTTGCACCCACAAGGGCTAGGGGAGGGACCTGGGCACAGCTCTGAGGGCCCCTCACCTCAACAGCCCCTGGCTGGGGGTGTCGTAGCACCAGCACATCCGCGTAGCAGCTCATGGTCTGCACCGAGTCAGCCAGGGACTCGCCCTTCTGCACCGAGGACGTGGCTTCGGAGAAGGACAGCACTGCACCCCCCAGGCGCGACATGGCGGCTGCAAAGGAGCTGCTGGTCCGTGTGCTCACCTCGTAGAACATGGAGGCCATGACCTTGCCCTGGGGAGAGGGGCTGTAAGCATGGTGGGGCCAATGCCACCCACCCCCGGACTCATCCCTGCTTCCCAGATGCCTGGTGCCCCCATCTCCCTCCCTTCCACTCACCTTCAGGATCTCCAGGCTGCGCTCCTTCTGCACCATCATGCGCAAGGTGTGTGCCACGTTGAACAGGTGTGACATCTACAAGGACATGGGTCTCAGCCAGGTCCTGGCTCTGCACCCCCAACACAGGGCAGCCACATGCCCAGCACCAGGGTGGCACTGGAGCCAGCACTGCCCACGGGGCCTCCACCCCCTTCTGGGGCCCGCCCTTGCCCCCATTCCCAGCCCCCACAGTTCCCCTCTTGCCTCTGCCCCTAGGCAGTGTTGGCACCTGGTCCTTGGTGAACTGCTTGACAGAGAGCACATGCTGGCCAACGAGGGGGTGCAGCACCGGGGAGGTCGGTAGGTGGGGCACAGTCTGGGGCGATGTCTGTCTGGGCACGGGCCCTGGTGGGTAGCAGCTGTCCAGGACCCCGGCAGGATCTGCAGCACCGGGGAAGGGAGTAAGCAGCTACATAAGTGCACCGCAGAGCCCTCAACAGCCTCAGCCCTAAGCCCCACGATCTTGGCCCTACCCTTGGTACACCCTGCATAGATGGGCTGCAGCACCAGGGTCCTGCAGGGGAGTGGCCATCCCCCAGGCCTCACCCACTGGCTAGCAGGGACAGAAGGGGAAAGACCCTGTGCAGAGCATGGCCCTGGTGACCCCTGGGAGCAGATGCTGCTGGTGACAGGGCCTGCAAGGCCATGGGGCAGAAAGCAGTAACTGCCCCATGGTCCCTGCTCCGAGCCCCTAGCAAGAAGTGGCAGCTGGAAACCACCCCCCTCCCCACCTCTACCCACCAGCTCCTGCCCAGACTCCCTGTGTGGCAGGGGATGGGGGGACGCACCTGGCTCAGATGCCTTCTTGACGGCCTTTTCTCTGGAGTCCTCAGCTGGCAAAATGACAACTTGGTTAGACAGAGATGTGGCTATGGGTACCTGCTCCCCACCACATCCTGGACAGATACACTGCTCCCACTCAGGCCCTGCTACCCAGGGAAGGGCCGTGGCGCCAGGCCCCAGCCCACTGCAGGCCCCTCTGCCAGCGGGGCAGCTGTAGGGGCGAGAGCACCAGCCCTGGGAAGACAAGGGAATGCAGTGGGACTCCCAGCCTGGCTTCAGGTGTGAGGACTCTGCACCCAAGGAGGCCCTGGTGCTGTGCAGTTGGCAGGGAGCTCCAGACAACACAGGTGCTCGTGAGTCCTCGCCTGGCTCCCAACACCCTCCCATGCCAAACCCTGCCATGGTCCCCCTCAGAGTCCACCCAGCAGCCTGAACTCCAACCCTAGCCAGCAGCAGAGCCCCGCAGAGGGCTGGGGCTGCTGCACATCCCACCTCGTGTCAAATCAAACCA